AAAAGTCCAGTGGTGTGTTTGTCCTAGGTTGATATGAACACATCGTTATATCTGAAAGGCTTTCCTCTGAAATTGGTAATTCGTCAAAGACATTTTTATCTAGTGTTAATGTCAAAGGACGTCGCTTTTGCCAATCTGGGATATTCTGCTTTGCCTTTGTGTGCAAATCTCCATCAGATTTTGAGATAGACGAGCTCCAGTGAGAGTTCCCCTGCTGCCGACGGGAAGCCGGTTTAGATATCTTTGTTGCCATTTTCAGACAATTAGTTACATTTTAGAAAATGGATACTCTGAAATAAAAGATAGTAAACGAATTTGAGAAACCATTAGGGAACCCAAAATACCCATTATACATTCCAAGTATAGAAAAACAGATCAGTTCAGTGTATTTGTTTTCAAACAAAGCTAGTCAGTGTACAACTTAAGCAGCATTATAGATAAAAATTAAACTCCATAGTTTCTGTGCTGCTAAAACTTTGAATTTTGTTTTAATAAATGATCATTACAATTAATCGTCGTATATCACATGAACCACCGCACAGGTTCGTTTTATTATTTTTTTTCAGGTCAATAAATTTGACAAAATGTCTTTAAGAACAACTCAACGTTTACGTATGATGCTGTGGAGAAATACGTACACACATATATATACATATATTAGGGATGGAATTGGAAACGGTCTTACTAGTTAGTCAGAACGATGGGATCGGCCGCGGTTACAAAATCTGTAATTGTTTACTCGAAAAAAAAAGTATAAATTTGAACAAATTTCATTTCAAATTCTTTTTGAAATTAAAAAACTCCGATCGTTTTCTTGATAAGTTAGGGGTTTGACATACTAGTATATATGTGTAGACACCTATATACAAGTACAAAATGGAATCGCGAGCATTGAGGTAATGGTCATTGTTTGTAATGTTAAGTACTAAAAACTTCATTTTATTGGAATTTTTTTTTCATATGAATAGACCCTACTTGAGAAAATAAAAACGATAAAAGTAACTTTATACTGCGCCACTTACTATTACGTTGGCATAGTCTCCCTCTGTCCTACATTTATATTACTGCTCTGTGTCAAAAATTAGTTACTCTATTTAAACTCTTGTTGCAGTAGCCCTTCTAAAGTCCTCTACCGGTCATTTGATAACCATATTTTGATACTGTCGTCAAATCATTGTCAATTTGTTGTTTTTGGGTGAGATTAGTCCGTATTAAAAGTCTATAATCCCTGTAGTTTGTTTTTTCTGAACGTATTTCATTAACGATTCTTCAAACAAGTGGTAAAATATTTAAAATCCTTACCTTGGGAGAAGTCATCGCCCACCGTCTCCTATAAAGTAAAATAAAAAAAATAATAAATACATAATAAAACAAAAATTAACGGTGGAATTACTCTTGAAGATTAATGTGAAAAATGTCGCTATGATGATGGCCCTTTGGCATAACTGATTTTAAAAGGTATTTTAAAAAGTTGAAATGTGAACAAAGAATGTTTGTAAGAATGATATGTAGCAAATCAGGAAAGCTTTGACTTTGATTCTTCATTTAGCAAATCAGAAAAACTGTTAAGGAAATTTACCGCGCTTTTTCTTAATAATATAATAACCTTGTCTTAAATCATCAATATTCACACACAATTTATACTTGTTTGTGTGTCGTCATCAAAGTCACTGTAGCAGTAGGAATTCAAAAGAGACTTAGTACTTTACACAATAGCTGACAATTGTACAGGTTATTGTCACATTCGAACTAGGATTTTCTTAATCCACAAAAGGAAATAACTGATACTACTAAGGTGTCCGGATAGGGCCATTTGCAAAAGCTCGACAGCGCGTTCAGAAAAACACGCCGTCGCGCTAACACACAACACGCTGTCACGCTAACACAAGTTCGCACAACACGCCGTCGCGCTAACACACAACGCGCTGTCACGCTAACACAAGTTCGCACAACACGCTGTCACGCTAACACAAGTTCGCACAACACACCGTCGCGCTGTTGTGTGTTAGCGCGACGGCGTGTTTTTTTCTGAACGCGCTGTTGAGCTTTTGCAAATGGCCCTATCCGGACACCATATACTACTCCCATACGTTTTATTTGCCAAGCTGATTTGTATTGATCTAAATTCAATACTCCTTGTATTTGCTGAATTTGGTTGGGTATGATTAAAAAAAATTATTCTGAAAAACCTTGTAGGGACATAATATCGAGGGAGGGCAGTTCCCCTTACTTTTTCCTGAGAGTCTTGCTATTTAGTGTGGAAATTTTCATTGAAAATGCGTCTCCCCTCCCACTTTTTTTTGCAGTATGGTTTCATGTTATTGTATCTGATTTTGTTGTTGTTGAAAAGAGAGTGGGAAACCCTCCTGAGCCTTCCGATAAGTTTTTCCGAGTTTGGTCAGTTTCCAGTATTCGTTTGCTTTTGTTTTTCAGAAAAAAATTCAGGCACTTATAGTTGTTATTGGTGTATTTCAATTATTTTTTTACTCTCCCCCCCCTTTTTTAAAAAAGGATGCTATATGCCCGTCTTTTTCTGTCATTTGCTTAGATTTCATCAGAAAAAAGTTCTCATATATTCAATTTTTCGAAATGAGATTCGAATATGGAAACCAAATAGACTTTCAGTATCGCAAGAGACGATAACATTTTTACATTTTTTGTAATAAAAGACTTACTTAACTATCATAGTTCGGTGATTATACCTTGCATTTTACAATGTAATTTCGGAGAAATGCATTGTTCACCAAAAGTTGCAAGAACATAGATTTTTGTAGCATTAGCCAAACAAAAAGTTTCCGTACATTTTACACTTCATTTAAGGATAAACAAAAATATTTTTCCTAAAGACTAAACAAAAGAAGGGAAAATCCCTCCCTATGTCACTAACAAGAAGAAAATCATTTAAGATCTATATACAACATGGGAACGATTCTCCTTTTGCATTCATGACATGTTCGCGTCAGATGTTTTGTCTGGGGCATTGTTCTGAGAACGCATAGAGAGAAGTACAAAGTAAAAGCGCAGGGTGCTATTTTTGAATGAAAATATGAATGCATTTGAAACTTACCTACTGCGTGTTCGTGAACACCTCAAACCAAGGGAGATCTATCATTAAATCTCTCCGGAATGACGCATCAAATACTCGCTGTGTTCTGTTACGAATTGTTATAAGAGTTAGCTGATACATTATTAATTGACGAAACTTTCCGTAACAATTACATCGGTTCGTTTAATGAGGCATAGCTCATTTTCAATCGATGATTTATGATTATATTTTTGAAAGCCATCTTCCAGAGAGGACATTGTCGAAGTACTAGACTTTCCATCATTGATTTTAATTAAGTGCAAGATCGATTTTGCATCGGAGAAAGAATTTTATTTCATTTTTTTTAAAAAACTATTATTATCATTGCTGTAAATCAGAAACCCATTGTAGTTCTTTTCATTCACGGTTATCTCATTTGACTTTGAAAATAACCCTTTCATTATACCGGTATATTTATGCCTTTTGTTTTACTTTTGGTTTAGAAAACTATCCCGATTAATGAATGAACCAAATGGGGCACGGATAATATATATCCCCCGGTATTTTTTTTTCTTTCAAATTCATACCTTTTCACTCTTTCTTTCCACCCCTTTCTTTTATCAGACTGTCTATATTTTTATTGTAATTGTTATTATATGTCTTTCAAGTCTATATGAAAATAATTAGTCACATCGAGCTTAAATTAAGTCATGCTCATATTGATTTCGATCGGGTACTGCTTTTCTTCAAAGTATCATTAATCAAAGAACCAAAGTACTAAAATAAAAGTTAAATTCAACTTCGATTCCTTCAATAGTTTTACATAATCACACAATTCTACGAATCAAAAGACTGCACAAAATATTCTACATAAATCTTCTACAAAATGCATTTTTTTTAATAAACAGACGAAAGACAATTTCCTCATATTTTGGTTAAAAGTTTTTCTTTTTTTTAGTTCATAAACTTTATGTTGATTGATTTATTACATCAACATTCCCTCGGATAATTGAAGAAGATAAGTATCACCGTCATAAAAATGCTAAACCTGCAGAAAACCAATATCTGCACTGCTTGGAAGGAAAATGAATTGTTAGCAACCATACAAGAAGACAGACGCATATAAATACTAGTAAGCACTTCTAACTCGTGAAAATATCAACAAATCATGTCCCATTCATAAAAAAAATTCCATATCCAACTACAAAACAATGAAAATCCTCTATCCTATCCTTCGAACTCAGAAAGGCGTACAGAAACTTTCTGAAACTACATGTATAAGTATTTTAAGTTATACCAGCATCTTTACATCAATTAACATTCACTCTATTTCTTACCGAGTTTCAAACTTATTTTTCTTAATGTTTGGCCTAACTCACCTGTGACTGTCTGCTGTTAAGCATATTTCAGAGAGTTAGTGGAATACAATGAAATTTTAAGAAAAGATGTTATAATATTCTACCGTAAGTCTTTTTGCATTATTTTAATTATTTACTAGAAGGAAACCTAAAAAAAAAATAAGATTTAAAGAAAAAACAAGACCCACCACTTTTACAATATCATACCTTTATTGTTTATGAAAGCGTTTTTGAGTTTTGGGGGGGGGGGGGGGGTTAAATCCACACTTGAGACAGGAAAACAGTTGTCATTAAGAGCTTTGCATTGCGAATTTGTTAAGTTATTAATGCAGTATACTCTCCTCCAAGAGGAGGGAACATCCCGCTATATAGTAGGATCTCCATGGAGAAATAAATTAAAAATGTTAAAAAAAAGGAGAAGTGAATCTGTATAGTTGGTTTTCCTTTGGGGAACCGTCACGGTAGCTCATTCGGTAGAGCGCTCGTTCCGTGATCGGAGGTCGTGTATTCGAATCACGGCCGCGGCTAACCCAAGTCGATAAAATATAGGTAACAACTGTTCCTTCGCCAAGCGCTCGGCACTTTGATGTGAAAGTTGCGGGTCTTAAAATTCGAGGCCCCGTGTCACGGTAGGCGTAGGCACGATAAAGAACCCTCACTGCTCAATGGCCCCGAGTGCCGAGTAAAGGTCTAAATTTGAAGCCCTTCACCGGTATTTGGTGAGATCTCTATATGAGTAAAAAAATTTCGAACGGGACGTAAAACAACATTCAATCAATCAATCAATTCTTTGAGGAAATCCAACTATCTAAAGGAGCTATCAAGGGCAAATACTACGATATACTAGTAGCCAGTTTTCCCGGGGGAGGAGGGGATGTCAACTTTATAACACTGGATATATCAAAGAGAACATTATAGCAACTGAAAACACATGCGACAGGTACCACTGTAAAACGAATCGAAAACCGCGCCGGCTACAAACAGTGTGAACAGGCTGGGATGCAACAGATCCACTTCGCAATGACCGGAAGAGAAGTCAATTGAAATCCCTGAAACACATTGAAAAACCAAGTCATCTGCAACAGTCTCCTGTGGAAAGAATCCACTATGCGATAAATTGTCATAGAAAAAGGTGCAAACATATATAAAGCATGTGCAAATCAACATTTTCGTCCCTGAACAGCACAAGGCGATTTCAATGCTTTTCCCAACGACATCTTTAATATTCTTGATTTTCATTCGTTGTTTCAAATATGTGTCCCATAAGTTTAACGAGGCCGAGTCTAATTATTTCTATCCTAGATATTTTGATAAATTTTCTTGAATGAATTTTTACTATTATATTAATTATTTTAAGATAAAAATATCAAATGTTTACCATCCCGATTTCTAAGAGGGCCATCTTAAAAGCTGTCAAATTTTACTATTGGACCCTATGGGAATTTGTTGGAAAAGCGCCAAATTCTCACATTTTCCCCATATTTTTTGTATTTCTGCCCTAGGGATTTCGTTTTCAGTCAAATACATGAAAGTTATCGTAAAAAGTCACCAAATTGTGAAATTTCAAAAAAAGTTGACCATCTGGTTTGGTCTAGGAATTATTACAAAGTTTATTTTTTCCTAATGCCCAATACCACTAAATTTGCCATATTGCGGCATACATTTTGTATATATCGGCGCAGATGAATTATTTTGGTAAAAAATAACAACGTTTAGATTGCTGGTAAGTTTCTTTTGATGTTCTGTCAACAGTGTTTAATAAAATGTCCATGGACGTCTTCAGTACTCAAGCGTGTCAAGCGTCATTCTTCAGCGTCATGCATTGCTTACAGAACCGTAAAACAGTGACGTCGTGAAAGCCATTTCAGCATTTATTCCTAAATATTGTCTTCAAAGCACATTTTAAGACCCATAAACGTTACAGATAATGTTCATTTTGTGTTACAATTACAATACCTGGATAGGTGTTATGTTGCAGGTTAGACTGCATGAAACTAAAAAGCTGCGCAAAGTCATGCGCGCTGGAATTA